ACACCATTTATCAAAGACTCCATTTTTCCTCCATTGATTTGAAATGTCGCCTTTATCTTTAACCATATTTCCGTCTACATGTGCATCTGTTTCTGGATTTTTAATTTTGTTCCATTGTCTATTCATGTGTTAGTATTATACTTTTGTTGTTGTTGATCCTCACCCGAGGATATTCCTACATTGATTTGCAGATAGAGTGGGAGGGAGGGAGGAAGAGAGAGAGAGAGAGAGAGAGAGAGAGAGAGAGAGAGAGAGAGAAACGTTGATGTGAGAGAGACATACCAACCAGTTGCCTCCTGCATGACCCCAACCAGAGCCAGGGATCAAACCTGCAACCCAGGTATGTGCCCTTGACTGGGAATCGAACTTGAGACCCTCTGGTCCACAGGCCGACGCTGTAACTGCTGAGCCAGACCAGCCTGGGCTTAATTATTTTAAAAAGTTAACTTATTGATTTTAGAGAGAAAGAGGAAGAGAGAGAGAGAGAGAGAGAGAGAGAGAGAGAGAGAGAGAGAGAGAGACACATCAATGCGTTCCACTTATGCAGTCATTGGTTGCTTCTTGCATGTGCCCTGACCGGGAGTTGAACCCACAATGCTCTAACCAATTGAGCTCTCCAGTTAGGGCACTTTTAATTATTTTAGCTTTATAATGTATTTTCATATCCCATAAGGCTAATCTTTCCTCATATTCTTTTATTTTAGAATTTCCCTGGCCATTCATTAGTGGGGTCCTTGGAGCTTAGGAGAGAGAAGGTGAAGATAATGCACTGGGGAATGGTGGGGGGAGGCAAAGTCAAGGGTGAGCATGCTGGCCATTCTTATTTGTTTGATTGTTTTCCATAAGAACTTTAGAATCAGCATGTCTAACTAATTAATTAAAAATTAATTAAAAATTAATTAATCTCCTAACCTAGATCATGGTTTGAGTTTCCATTTGTTCTAGTTTTTTTCTTCTGTCTTCATCAAGGAAGTTTAAAAATGTTTAAAATGAATCTTGTTCATTAAATTTTAATTTGCATTTCTAAAACTATTATTAAGGTAGAGCATCTTTTTATGTTTTAATTGACCATTCATTCTCCCCCCACTCCACCCCTTACTTTGTGAATAGCCTGTTTATAACTTACTACTAAAGTTTTACTATTTTTTCTTATTCATTTATAAATGTTGATTTATACATCTTACATAATCCAGATACTAATTTGTTGTTAGTTACATGAATTGGAAATATCTTCTCCCAGTCTGTGGCTTGTTCTTCATTGGTACCATTTGATTTTAAAAAGTTAAAAATTTTAAAATATAATAATATTTATTAATCTTTTTTTTTTATGGTTAATGCTTTTTGGGTCCTGTTTAAAAAAGAAATACTTTCCTACCTTAAGGTCAGACAGATATTTTTTTATGCTTTTTGTATTAACTTTTTTTAAACATTTTAAAATTTAGTTTTCCATAGTCAGAGCTTCAATCCGTGTAGAATTGATGTCTGGTATGGTATGAAGGAGGATTAAATTTTATTTTACTTTTCAACATGGTTAAGCTATTTACCAGAACCAATTATTGAAAATGCACTGCTGGCCCTGGCCAGTTTGGCTCAGCGGTTGGAGTGTCGGCCTGTGGACCAGAGAGTCCCGAGTTCACTTCCCGCTAAGGGCACATACAAAAAAAAAAAAAGAAAATGCACTGCTGGTGTATATTAAGTTTCCACAGATGCATATGTCTATCTCTGGGCTCTCAGGTCTGCTCCTTTGTGTTCTTTCTTTCTTCATACCAATAGCACACTGTTTTAATTATTATATGTCTCATTATCAGGCCAAGATCTCTCACCGTGTTCTTTTTGCCCCCAAAATTTTTAGATTGAAATTGCAGATTAATTTGGGGGAAATGGACATCTTTACACCTTTGGGTCTTTCTATGTAATAGCACAGTATATTTCTCCATATATGTTGGTTCTAAAACACTTTCAATGAAGTTGCATACATTTCTCTGTGAAGGTCAGGAAAATATCTTTTATTAAAGTAATTCCTGGTACCTTTTTATTGCTAGTATAAAATGATGTGTTAGGGTACATTATTCTTTCCAATTCTTTTTTTATTGATTTTTTTTATTTGACTATAGAGTTTTATTAATTTATTTTTGTTACAGATGTTTCTCCTTTTTTCCCCATTGACACCCTCCTTCCCATCCCCCACACCCCATCCCCAGCTTTGTTGTCCATGTCCATTGGTTATGCGTATATGCATATAAGTTCTGTGGTTTATCTCTACCCCCCCCATTCCTTCTTCTGAGGGTTGTCAGTCTGTACCCTACTTCCATGTCTCTGGGTCTACCCTGTCCCTCAGACTGTTATGTTCATTATATTTCACAAATAAGTGAGATCATATGATACTTGTCTTTCTCTGTTTGGCTTGTTTCACTTAGGATAATACTCTCCAGGTCCCTCCAGGTCCTCTCAAAGGATAAGAGATCTTTCTTTCTTACAGCTGTATAGTACTCCATTGTGTATATGTACCACGGCTTTTTTATCCACTCATCTACTGATGGACACTTGGGCTGTTTCCAGATCTTAGCTATTGTAAATAGTGCTGCTATGAATATGGGGGTACATATATTCTTTCTGATTGGTGTTTTACGCTTCTTAGGGTATATTCCTAGAAGTGGGATCACTGGGTCAAGTGGCAATTCAATTTTTAATTTGTTGAGGTAACACCATATTGTTTTCCATAGTGGCTGCATCAGTCTGCATTCCCACCAGCAGTGTACTAGAGTCCCCTTTTCTCCACACCCTCGCCAGCACTTGTTGTTTGATGATTTGTTGATGGTGGCCATTCTGACAGGTGTGAGTTGATACCTCATTGTTGTTTTAATTTGCATCTCTCTGATGATTAGTGATGTTGAGCATTTCTTCATATGTCTCTTGGCCATTTGTATGTCCTGTTTGGAGAGGTGTCTATTTAGTTCCTCTGCACATTTTTAAATTGGGTTGTCTTCCTTTCGTTGAGTTGTATGAGCACTCTATATATATTGGAAATTAACCCCTTATCTGATGTATCATTGGCAATGATGCTCTCCCATACAGTGGGTTCCCTTTCCATTTTGATGGTTGTTTCTTTTGCTGTGCAGAAGCTTTTTAGTTTGATGTAGTCCCATGTGTTCATTTTTTCCTTTGTTTCTGTTGCCTTAGGTGATGTATCAGTGAAAATTCTGCTGCATCTTTCCAATTCTTTATCCTTCCCTATCTTTTGCCATGTGCCCTTGACCAGGAATCAAACCTTTGACCCTTTGGTGCTCAGGTGATGCTCAAACCACTGAGCCATACTGGCCAGGGCTCATTTGGATTTTTTAAATGGCATAGGTCAGAAAACTATCTTTTTTTGTTGTTGTTGTTGTTGCAGCTAATTGTATCCATATCAGGTATTGAATAGCTTATTCTTTCTCTGAAGTTCATTTCTGCATTTCCACTGAACCTCTGCTTCTCATAGCTGCTCCCAGCCAATTACTGAGTATGGTTAGGATACTAAGGCAGGCCCAGTGAGACTCCTCTGAAGAGTGACTTTGGCCCAAGTGCTCCTCAATGTCTTTGTTCAACTTTCCTTCCAACTGCACTGCAAACAAGATACTTCCACGCAATGTTCTTTTCTTCCTTGCCTTTCTCCTTCACCCAAGGGCAGACTGGCATCTTGGGCTGGCATCTCTTCTAGCCTTTTCTGCATCCCTCCCAATTTTCTTATACTGGGATTTCTGGTAATAAATCTCTTGCACTTTAAATCTTTTCTCGTCTGCTCTTTGGAAGACCTGTGGCATACATGTGGTGGGAGTGAGACAGGAGAAGCCCCAGATGTGTTTGGGGATCTGAGAGCAGAAGAACCTGTGCTTACTTGCAAGGGGGAGACCCAGGAAAGCACGTCTGGTCCTAGAATTCCCCTCTCATGCAAGCAGAGCCTTGCCTTTCCCCCCTCTTTCATCCATGTCTCAAGATACCCCCCACCCCTCTCTCTCTCAAGCTCCAAGGGCCCTTCTTTTGCCTCTGTAACTCGTTTCCTGAGCCCATTTTTTCTATGGCTCACTTCTTCTACCTCTGTCACTTTCTAAATAAACTTTCTCTTAGAGTTTGAGTCATGGCTCTGAATTCTTTCTTAGCCAGAACTCAAGTACTGGGGTTGCTGAATGGAAGTTAACACCTGGTGCCATTTCGCTGCCAACATGTGAAGACAGTGGGAAAAACCTTGAGGCTGGCATTGCTCACCCCACTGATGCTGGCACTAGTCACTATTCCTAGAACTTCCGCCACTGCCAACACTCATTAACCAAATGGGTTTTCTGATTCAAAATGTAAATGTATCCGATTGGCAGAACCAAGGCCGTGTGCCCCCATTCCCAAGCTGGAAGGGAGCCGGAGGATTACTTTTTAGCTTCTGTGGTGAGATACAGGTTCTGCTTCTTAAGGGGGGCAGCCAAAAATGACAAATATCAGTACACCAAATTGTTTGCTTTTCTTTTTCTCTTTTCTGAAAGGGACTTCAAATTATCCTGTTGTATTCTCCAGCATTGTTTACCAGGTGTTTGGGAAATTATTAAATTCCTCTCTTAATATGTGGGTATGCTGTATGATGATGAACCATATCTTTAACTGCCAGAGAAGAATGAAGATCACTAAGAAATCCTGGGGCCCTGCCTGGGGAGTTCAGTTGATTAGAGAGTCATCCCAATATGCTAAGTTTGCAGGTTTGATCCCCGGTCAAGGCACATACAAGAATCAAACAATGCATTCATAAATCAGTAGAATAACAAATCAGTGTTTCTCTCCCTTCCTCTCTCTCTCTCTAAAAAAAAGAGAAAGAAATCCTGGACTCAGAAGAATGTAGTGACTGAATATAATCCTTGGTTGTTTCCCTTTGGCGAATACTATGTTAATGTATCAAGTAGTTTTTGCCGTATAACAAATTACCTTAACATGCATGGCTTACCATGGCAATCATTTATTAGTAACTGATTCTGTGGGTCAGCAGTTTGGGCTGGGTCAGTTGTGTTGGTCTTAGCTGGGGTCACTCAAGCTTCTGTGGCCTCTTCTAATTTTGGAGGCTTTCGGTCAATGGCCGCCACACCCCCTCCCCCATTTCTGGCTGTTGGCAGGGGGAACAGGGCGATTGGTTACGTGTCTCTCACCATCTGGCTCCTTCACCCAGCGCATTCACATGTCGATGTCAGGGCTGCACGCGGAGCGAGCAAGGGCAGGCTGCAGTGTGCCAGAACTCTTGAAGTCTCTCTGCTTGCTTCAGATGGGCTATTGTCACACAAAGTGACGTGAGGCCAAACCCTGGGTTAATATGAAAGGGGACAATGGTATAAGAGCTTGAGAGCTGATTGTTACATTTCCAGGATTTTTGCAAACCACTTGTTCAACTGCTCATAGCTTGATATTGGCCATGGTGAAAATATTTACACACAGAAATTGGCAAACACTACAAACCAGGGCTCCCCCCGACAGAGGACCAGTTTACCACTATGTCACTAGGACCATCTGAGGACATGGGTACATAGAAAGGAATTAATGCAGCTGTTTTTGAAACTATCAGAGGGAATGCGGTCTTTTTGTACATTTGAGAGGCACGGTTTTCAAGCATAACTATTATTGGAATGGTATTTATACTAAGATACGTTATGTATGTGTTGAGCAGTCAAGGGTTCACACTGTACTGGTCACTTATGTTTTTTAAAGCATTTTTTAGTCTTTTGCAGTAACAGACCCTGCTTGAACCCAAGCTCAGCCACTCTTAGAGACAGTGATTTATCCAAAGGACAAACTCCCAAACCAAGCTAATTCAGTCAGAATTATTCCCAGGGCTCTTTCAGACTAAAGCTGGGGGAGGAAGGTCCCTCTTACAAATTGTGATCATATGAGCCAAGAGCTGCCAGCAGTCATAATTACACTTTTGTCGCGGACAGTGGACCTAAGAGAGAATAGCTAACCGATTTGCATGAAAGAGGTGGGAATAGAGAAAGAGACTGAAAGAAAGAGAGATGAAGGAGACACAGAGGAAAAGACGAATCCATCCCATCCCTTCCTGCTGTTTGTTGTGTCTAATTATACACATATATTGAATTGATGTCTGTCACTTACACCCAAATAGTCCTGACGAATACGCAAACACACATATCTTGTTGCAGAGGTGGAGAAACTAGGACAAGGAAGGGATCAGCCCTGCTGTGCAAAGACAGGATCTGGGTCAGAGCATCGAGTTCATCCCTGGGGGTAAAGAAACAAAGGCGGTGGTAATATCACACGGAGAGCTCCTCTGAGATTTGTAATTCTCTCCCCCACCCCACCCCTGTGTCAATTCAAGGTATGGTAGAAGATAGTAGAAAAGACTCAGACAATTAAAGCCCAAAGAGGCTTACTACAGGGAATTAGATGATTACAAAGTTTTTGGGAGGGCCGGAGGCTGAGCTTCCAGGAATGACTCCCCTGCCCAGGAAACCATTATCCCGGTGCCTGGCTTGAGGATCGACCACCTCGACTGCAGTTCACATAAAAAACTGCCCTGTCTCTGCAACCGCCAGGCTAACGCCCACTACTGCGATTTCTGTTTCTGCAGTCACAGAAAAAACAAAACCTCCCTTGGCCATGTTTGCCAGCAGAAACGCCAGCAGCCGCAGAAGCACCTATTCACTTCCCAATCTCGCTCCTTAGAGGCAACAACAGTTAACATTTCTTCTGCATCCTTCCAGAAAATTCTCAAGCATACACAAACACACATGCTTCTGTGTGTATGCGTACCTATGTGTATAAAACAAGTACGATCACACTGAATATTGTTTAATTACTCATTGACTTAAAGGACCTCAATTTGAATGCCTTTTCTTTCTTTGGGGGGGGTGCCTTTTCTGAGTGAGAATGAAAGAATATGACTAGGTTTCTTCTTTTTTTTAATGACTGGATGTCTGTTTTTAATCCTCACCCGAGGACATTTTTGCATTTTATCTTCAGATAGAGTACGAGAGGGAAAGAGAGAGAGAGAGAAACATCAATGTGAGAGAGACATATTGACTGGTTGCTTCCTGCACCACCCCAACCAGGGTTGGGGATGAACTGCAACTGAGGTACGTGCCCTTGACCGGATCGAACCTGTGACTCTTTGGTCCGTGGGCCAACGCTCTAACTGCTGAGCCAAACCGGCCAGGGCTAATGACTGTATTTCTTTTTTTTTAATCCTCACCCGAGGACATTTTTTGTTATTTTGATAGAGTGGGAGGGAGAGAGGAAGAGAGAGAGAGAGAGAAACATTGACATGAAAGGGACACATCGAGTGGCTGCCACCCACACAACCCAACCAGGGCCGGGGACAAACTGCAACCGAGGTACGTGCCCCCAGCGGGAACCAAACCCGGGTCTCTCTGGACTGCAGGCCGATGTTCTAACCGCTGAGCAAAACTGGCCAGGGCAAAAGGGCAAGAGGAAGATAAAATTCTGAATCTAAGCGTAAATAGCATCATGGGTTCGATTTCATATAAGGGGTAATCAGATCAATATATCACCTGCTCAGTGCACTGACTCAGCCTCTACCTAGGGAAGTCTGGCTGAGGGAAAAGAACGGGCAGTCGGTAGGCAGAGAAGAGCTCCTGCCCTCACTCGTACTCCTCACTGGGCACAGATGTGTCCTGGACGCTCCCACAGGCCCTGGGGGTTGCGTGAGGGACAGACGGGGCTGAACAATCCTGAGTTACTTTGCGTGGTGACCCTGCTGCCGGAACCCCGTCTCTGTCTGAGATTCACTGATCCTGGCCCACTCACGACTGTTCATCATCACAGCCCAGGGAGTGAGTGGCCTCTTGAGTATGAGCCTCAGACGGAGAAATTCCGCCCCATCTCTATGGGCAACCAGTTTGTTCTAAAGTCATTATCACCCAGCTTTACACTCCAACTCTGGGGACGTCCCTCTGGCTGGCCTGTTCTGGGAGGTTGCTGGGGCCTGACTGAGTGGCTCAGGGAGGATGTGTGAGGTCAAGTGAGGGACATTTGGCTCAGATAAAAGGGGCCCTGAGTGGGGCATACGGGCCGGAAGATGGATCGGCTCCTTGTGCTGCAGGAACCGAGCATGAGAGCGGCTGTCCAGGCGTCTGGGTGGTAGCAGCAGGTCTGAGCGGTGTGGGCGGATCTGAGACCACAGCCAGGGAGGACTGGCCCGGTCCTCCTGGTTGTGGGGGAAGAGGCGAAGTCAGCCGCCACTCAGAGTGTGAGCCCTGGCGACCAAGGGTTGCAGATGGCACATCCTGGAAAGGCATCTCTGAGACAGATTCACATCCCAAAGGTTGACTAGGCAGTTCTCGTGGGATCCCTGTGGGAGGGAAGGGAAGGCAGCAGGATTGGGAATATGGAGAAGTTGAGCCTAAAGCAGCCTCTCTGGAAAGCTCAGCGGCCCCTCCAGGGGTGGCCCTGCAGAGCTGTGCCAGTTTGGGCGATGGGGCTGGCCTCCATGTTCCCACACTGATCGGCCTCTGGCTGGGAACCTCCCTGGAGTGGTCCTGGTTGAGGTGGCTTTTCTGCCACTGAGGAAATGCCAGAGGCATACGGATAGCTGGGGCTTTCTGCCCACAGCGCCCCCAGCAGTTGGGGGATAACCTATCATTCCCAAGGGGATCTTGGTGGCCCGTCACAGTGTCTGCCACCGTCAGGAAACATGGTAGAGCTCACAAGAGGAGTGGGTTCGAGGGAGGTGATGAGTTCCGTTTTGGACATGCTGAGTTGGAAGTGTCCAAGGGAAAGGCAGGTGGGGTGACCAGTGGACAGTGGGTGTATAGGCCTGAAGCTCTGGAGGAAGGTCAAGGACAGACGTACAGAATTAGCAAGTACATAAAAGTGGAGTGGAGGTCAGAGGAATTGATGGGATATTCACTGCATAGAGGGAAACAGCACCACCCAGGGGATGGAGATGATCACGGGGCAGCCTCTGCCCTTCCGCTCCCTCCATCTCCCACATCCTCCCTCCTCCATCGCCTTCTACTAGTCCTGTGCTTTGATACCTCTCTGTCCACCTCTCCCCTTCTCTTTCTTCTGTCCCCTTGTCTCCTCTCCTCTCTCCTCTCTCTTCTCTGTCCATTTTTCTCTCCTTCCCTCCTTCTGCTCACTAGAGGGCAGTAGCTCACAGTCCAGGCCTCAGCATCACCCTGAGCCTTTGCCTTGCTCTGCCCTCTAGCGGTGGGGTTGAGAGGGACATGCACCGAGATGATGTCAGGCCCTTGGGGCTCCTCACTCAAGAGTCAGGCCTGTACTGGTAGGGCTCCCGTGTGGTGGGAAATGCCATGTTCAGTACAGAGGGCAGGAATTGCTACTTCTTTGCCCTGCTTTGCTGAAGCATAGAGACACAGTGGCCAGCTGTATCTGCCTTGAACGGATGGGGACGTCGAGACCCCGAGAAGTTCTTCTAAGTGAGGGGAAGAAATGAAACAACCTGCTTGGGGAGGAGGGAGTCCTGGGTTTAAACCCCAACCACAGCAAGTTGGAGACCAGAGCGCTTGCCTGGAGTCAGGCCCCAACGGAAACCCCTGCCTTCTGCCACCGACCGTGTCCAGCCTTTCGGCTCCTGCTCTTTGTCCATTGCTTCCTCGTGGCTGCCCTCCTCCAAGGCTGAAGAGAGCTGCCATTGTCACCTGATGCCGCCATGCTGATGGGCTCCGCTGGGGAGAAGCTGACAGGACAGCCGGAGCAAACAAGAGTGCCTGCCGGTCCGCTTCTGGCGCCCTGTTGGCAGAACCTATCGGGAAGCAGCGGACAGGGAGACTGGCTAGCAGTGTCCTTTCCCGGCGTGGCCAACTCTTACCCATCCTCTGGGTCTTAGCTCAGGGGGGCTTCCTCCGGGAAGCTGCCTCTGGACCCAGTGCCTGCCACCCTTTCCCACAGAGCCTGTTTCCACTTCGAACCCGCGCGAACCAGCGTGCAGGAGAGCCCTCTGTGTGTCTGCCTCCCTCGGCAGCCGTGAGCTTCTAGAGGGGAGAAACTTTGTCTAGCAACTTGGGAGGTTGTCGGCGCTGACCACAGAGCTCAGCAAGTGTCCTTGCTGAATCGCAGTTCCTGAAGTTGTAAGCGCTCTGGACAAAAGCTGGGGAATAAGTGAGGAGCGATGCTTTTGCTCCGGGTTCTGTCTCACACAGGGGTGCTTAGGCACTGCCAGGTTTTTCTCTGACAACAATAATTGATGAGCATTTACTGAACACCTGGCCAGTACCAGGCGGCATTCTTCCCACTCCATGTGTATCAACTCCTTTAGTCTTCACAAACATATAAACGGAGGCCCAGAGAGGTTAAGCAATTTGCACCAAGTCACACAGCCAGGCAGAAAGTGGGAGAACCAGAATTTGAATCCAGGCAGTCTGAGTCCCGGAGCCTAGGCCCTTAGTCACTATTTTGCCCAGGGATAATGGGAAGTAGGACTTATGCTGGCCAACTTATGCGGATGCCAGTGGTGATAATTATACTGATATCAAACATTGTAGATGCCTTTCCATCACATTACCCCTCTGTAGGAATAATAACTCTTCTCTTTTGGAGAACTGAGCCTGCCAGCTTCCCGAATATGTAGTTCTAGAAAAGGCTGCTAAATGTAGTACCCCACAGCCACAGGTGGACACGTGGCCCAGGTGGGACTAATGAGCGCAGCTTCGCTGAGATTTTTCAAGCTGGTCTAATAAAGGAGGGGAGTGCCCGTTGGCAGGTGAAGCTGGAAGATACTCCGGTCTTACGGAGAAGCCACACTGACGGGTTCGCAGAGAGCTGCAGGGCTGAGCGCGGAGGAGACCGCCCCTTTCCCTGTCCTGGGTCTTGATCCTCAGCCAGTACATTCCTCTTTGGCCTCATCTGGTTCATGTTTGGTTTCTCACACTTGTGATTGAAATAGCACCTTCGAGCTGACAAAACCCTGCCATAGGAAATGGATTCTTACACTAGCCGCAGGAGGCAGGTGGGGCCAGCATCAGGCGGTCGCTGCTCAGGAGGTCAACTGAGGTTTGGAGCAGCTGAGTGACTTGCCAGCAGCCAGTGAGTGGCAGAGCGTGGGCCTGCGCTGTCTGGTTTTCTGCCTTGTGCTCCCATGGGCCCCGGTGGAGGGGGTCTCAGCCCTACGCCTCTCTCGGCGCTAGTCCCTCACTGTCTCAGAGCCCGGGGCTCGGGAATCCACCCACCCGGCACCTCGCCCACTTCTGGGTACCTGGATGGCTTGTAGGAAAGCTCCTCCCCTTACCAAACCAGGTTTGGGGTTCTCAGTCCGGTCTGGGCCCCGGCACGGGGAGGGGTGTAAGCATCTCCTCTGGCCTGGGGGCTGGAGAACTGGAGGCACCTCTGGGTTGGGAGCTTGGTGATCCAGCTTAGGCCAGACGCCAGCACCAGCTACTGTTCTGAATCCCAGTTGAGAATCTTCTTAACCATGGCAAGAAGAGCAGGGGGAGGGGGGGACTTCCTGTTTACTGCTGGCTGGTCTGAGGGAGACATCCTTCTGCGGTGACTGTGAGCCTACATCTCCCCCACCCCCAGGCTGACTCACACCCCGTCTGGCCAGCGTCAGAGGCTGTCCCCTACAGCCCAGGTTGGCCTCCCTGGCCTGAAGCAGTCTGTGACGACAGCAGCTGCTTGATACCTTCTCACATGTTTACTTATTTAAAACAAATTATTTTATTTTATTTTATTTTTAGAAAGGAAGGGAGAGGGAGAGAGAGAGAGAGAAACATCGATGAGCGAGAACATCAGTTGGCTGCCTCCTGCATGCCTCCCACTGGGGATCGGGCCCACAACCTGGGCCTGTGTCCTGACCAGGAATCGAACTGGCGACCTCTTGGTGCATGGGTCGGTGCTCAAGCCACTGAGCCACACCGGCCAGGCCCTTCTCACATGTTTATGACTTTAGTGGCACCCCATCTCACAAAGAAAGAAGCTGGGGTTGCAGAATGGAGCAAAAACTAAAATAAAAGAGAGAATGCTAGCAAAATTTGAACTTCAGATCCACAACTCCTTTTTAGTGTATGTGATATGTTTTATCTGTGGACTCTAAAAGAAGCTCAGATCCAGGGCGGTGGAGGGGCCTGGGAGGCTGCTGTGATTGGCAGGGCAGGCCGAGGAACCAGGGCACCGATGTCCCGGGCAGGAGGAGACGGGGGTCTCCGCGCAAGGAAAGCAGATTCGCCCTTCCTCGACCTCTCTGTTCCGTTGAGACCCCAGCAGAGGGGATGATGTCACATTAGTGAGGGTGATTGTCTTCCCTCAGTCCACCGAGTTAAATGCTAATAATCTCTTCTGGAAACACCCTCAAAGACACACCCAGAAATGATATTCACCAGCTGTGTGGGCACCCCTTCGCCCAGTTGAGCTGACACAAATAAAATCAACCATCACAGCCCCCACCCCCATGCTCTACTCCTCTCTACTCTAATAAAACTGTCTGAAAGATTTTATTTTCTAGTCGGAGGCACCGGGTATTCTTCTGTTGGTTTTATCTCATACTGTGGAGCATTTTTGAACCAGTCTTTTCACATCTCTGTGCCTCAGTTTCCTTATTTGTAAGACAAGGAGGTTAAGCCTTGCTTCACAGGGAGCGTGTGAGGATGGAATAAGACAGTGCTCAGCATGCTTCACTAATAAACTCTTCTTCACTTTAAACTCTATAAAAGAAAGAGTTTAGCAAACTTCTATGGACTTGAGCACCTGGCAGGGGTTTGTTCAAATTGCATGTACACTGGTGGCCACCAGAGGGTGGGAGGGCGGGCTGGGCTGTGCCCGGCCCATACACTGGACTGTATGAGAGGGCCCTGCAGCGAGCCCTGGCTGCAGCCACAGTGCCTCTGCCACTCGGGCCATTTGATCTGCTTGACTCTATGGTGATGGAGGCATCACTGGTGGGAAAAGATGCCATGTGGAGTTTGTGGCCAGTCCCAGTGGGAGAAACACAATGCAGACCCTTGGGGTGAGGCCATGCCTTCTGGGTAGAGAACTAAGTGTCTTTTGATAAACAACTTCTTGCATAATTCAGACAGATAGAACCTCTGGGCATGGGACACCAAGTGACCATGCAGCTGGAACGGTATACCCATCAGGGCCTGAGTCCTGTCTGAACGACCAAGTTGTAAGGTTGAGCAACGATCCACGGTGAGAACCGAGGGGTGCATCTCTGAGTGGGAGTGGGACCAGAGGGCACAGTGACTAGGAAGCCCAGGAACCTCATGGCACCCACCAGTCACACCAGTGCCCCTCCTCCATGCTCATGGTTGTAGGGAGGATCTGAAACCACCAGCTGATGAAAGAAGGAAAACCCCAGCTGGCCCCGTGGATATGTTCCCCTGGTTACATGGGAACCTCTAAGAAACAACAACATAGCTTAGAGATTATGGAAGTTTCCTTTCATTCGTTCATTTCCTCATTTATACATTAATTTCATCCACTGGTTCCATTCATTCTCTCTCTCATGAAGCACCTGTGCTTTGGACCTGATTCCTTCTCCTCCTCCGAGAGGACCTGGCACCTCTGTCTTCCCTCCAGTGTGTCTTGAGCACTCACCTTTACACGAAATCCTTCCCACCAGCATTTTAAAACGCTACATTCTCTTTTCTCTTTTAAGAAAATAAAATGTCATCTATCTCAGAAAAAATTAAAAAAAAACCTGAAATGTAACTCCATTCCCCTCTATGTCTATTGTTCATCTCTCTTCTCTTCATGGTCCAACTTCTTAAAAGAAGTTGGTACCTGCTGTCTCAGTGTCCCACCTCCCTGTATCCTCGGCCATCTCTTCCAGCCCGGCCTCCATCCCATCTCTCTGAGTGGCTCTCGCCTTCCACATCTCTGTCCTGCCTCCGTTCTCCCCATCATCACCCCATCATCACTGCCACCAGTCTGACACAGGCGTCTGTGTGTGGACGCAAGTGTCTGTGATAGGCTCCTAATGTATCTCCAAGTAACAATTTCTGTTCCTTGGGTCCATCCACCACGTAGCAACCAGGACGATCTTCGAAGAGCATACACCTCACTATTTCACGTGCTGCATCAGTCTGCTAGGACTCCCGTAACAAAATGCCACAGGCGGGGTGGCTGAAGCAACAGAAACCTATTTCCTCACAGTCCTGGAAGCTGGAGGTCCAAGACCAAGGTCTGGCGGGTCTGGTTTCCGGTGAAAACTTTCTCCTTGGCTGCTGGTGGCCCCTCGCTCTGTGGCTTTTCCTCTGTGCACGCGCTCTCCTGGGCTGTCTCCCTCGTCTTATGAGAACACCAACCTAGGACAGACCCAAATCCTTGACAAGATCTGCATGACCTGCCTCCTGCCTGTTTTCCAGTCTCATCTGGTCAACTCTCCCCGTTTGCCGGTCTTCTGATTTCTCGGTTCCTCAAACGTGCAGGCTTCCTCCTTTCTAGGAACTTAGTACCTGCTGTTTCTTTGCTTGAAATAGTCCTAAACCGCCCTCGCCCACTGCGTTAGCCTGTATAAAGCCTATTTATTCCTCAAAAATCAACTCCCACGTTGTCCTCAAGGAAGTTCTCCTTGACCCTGACAGCAGGTCGGGGCCCCCGTTTTTATGTTCCCTCTGCACGCCTACTTCTCCTGTGGCACTTACACCATTGTCATTCAGTCTTGCACTGTGTAATTAATTGTTCCACGCCTCTTTCCATAGACCGAAAGCCCTGAGATAGGAAGAACCACACCTCCTTCCTTTACTGCTGCGTCTTCAGCAGCTAGCACAATGCACAGTTCCCACGAGGTGTTTCCAGCAGCCATTCAAAGAGTTAATTCACAAAGGTCAAAGGCAGCTTCCTTACTGAACTCTGGTGAAGAGAAGAGCCAGCAAATCCCCTCCAGGAGCCTCTTTCTTGCCAGGAAAGCCAGGCTGCCGAGACTGATATCATCTTGATCTAGTTTAGAAATTGCACAGAAGGCGCTAGTTAAAATCTCAACAGTGAATGTTAAATTGTCATCTCTGCCCAAATGACTCCATCATGGCCGGTTGTTTTCAAAGATAGCTGAAGCAGTTTGTCCCAAGCTTCTCTGCAATGTCCCATGGCTTTACTGCTCCTCTGACAAGAGGGGGTGTCAACTTGTCTTGCCCCTAAAACTGGGCTGGCCTTGTGACTTGCTTTGGCCATTGGAATAGAGCGGGAAGTGATGCTATGTGAAGTCCAAGCTTTGTGCAAGAGTTTGAGAGCGTCTTCTTCCTCTCTCTTAGAAAGCTTCCCGAGACCACTGTGTAAGGAGGCTGGGTTAGACTACTGGAGGGGGAGAGACCAAGGGGAGGGGAGTCAAGGCGGCCCAGCTGACAGCCAACACCAAGTTCCACACATGTGAGTAGGGCCCGTAGGGCCTTTCCACCCAGCCAGTCCTCCAGCTGAAACTAGCCAGGTGAGCAAGCCCAGGGGAGACCAGTAGAGGAACCCACAGAATTAGGAGAATAAAAAATCTTTGCTGGGTGGTTTAGGCCCCAGGAATAGCTGAGTGGAACATCAGCCCTCCTGATTTCCCCATAATAATCCCATTTTCCCTTCTCTAAACAGTCGTGCCCGCCCTCTGTCTCTCACTGTCACACTCAGAATGACTCATCAGAACACTCCAGAATGTCGATATTTCCAGCTGTAAATCCAAAAGAGAAAATAGACATGAGAAGCAATTCACGGCAAGGTCTATACGTGCGGCTGAGTCTGGATGTCAGGGCACCGTCGGGGAGAACATTTTTGGCAAGGTAGCCACATTCACTGACTTAGGATCTGGGGCTTTCCAGGTAAAAGAGAGAGGCACATCTCATCCGCCCCTGGCTGCAGCTCAGGATTTTTGTCATATTTCAAGCTCCCTCCCAGGACACAGGTGTATCTCCCGGAACGTCTCCCACAGGTGCACATTGGCCTGGCCAGTTGCACCATGACTCACTGTAGCACTTTTATATCAGAAGTAACCCAAATGCCCAACACCAGGACAATGGATAAATATTTACAAAATGGAACACTGTACAGGCAAAATAAGTAAACAAGGGCTCCATGTATTAACATAGTTAAATCTCAAAAACCATCATTGAGTAAAAACAGCAAGCTGTAGAGGTTACGTAAAGTATGATATGATTAGTGTGAAAATTTGAAACATTTCAAACACCATCATATACTCTTCACAAATTTTTTTTTCCTTTATTGATCTTAGACAGAGAGAAAGTGAGAGGGAGAGGGAGAGGGAGAGAGAAACATGGATGAGAGAGAACATCGATTGCCACCTCCTGCATGCCCGCACTAGGAATCGGGCCCACAACCTGGGCATGTGCCCTGACCGGGAATCGAAATGGTAACCTTTTGGTGCATGGGTCGATGCTCAACCACGGAGCCACACTGGCTGAACACCATATACTCTTTAGAACACATTCCTCTCTCTCTCTCTCTCTCTCTCTCTCAAGACAGTAAATGTATAAATGTGTGCATGGGAATGATAACATATTGGAGGGGGGAGGGTGAGGAGAAGGATTGGGGAGGGGTACACAGGAGTTTCATCTGTACTGAAATGATTTGAAATAAATGTGGGAAATTTAAAGACTGGCAAAGCCAGCGGGGGGCGGGGGGCAGCTATATTCTCTATATTTTTCTTGTGCTTCAAACATTATGTGATAAAAATAAAATAAAATAAAATGAAAGCCCCCCTTCTGTCTTCTTACAGGCCCGAATACCTTTTCCACAGTTCGGTTTCTTTAACCCAGCTTTGCTGGCAGCCCTTCTGCGCTTGGGCTCACGTCATGCGGCATAAAGAGGTCCGTGGCATGCGCAGTTCTATTTCATGACACCAGAGCTTTAAGTCAGAGTCTTCCAGGGGAAGGAAAGAGGTTGACACTAGGGAGTGCTGTTTTCCCAGTGTGGGCTCAAGAAATGATTACAGAGAGAGAGAATGATTTGGGCAGGACTTCCCGACCAACTGCGCTTTGACAGGCCTGCCAGCGGGTCTGGGGAGCAGCCTCACCACTGCCCCATTCACGTGGCTGGTTGGGTTTCCTTAAAGCATGGCAGCCGGTTCCAGGAAGAAGCCTCCCAACAGGGCACGGCCCGTTGTGCAAGTACCTCTCAAGCTGCAGCTTGCATTGGTCTTACTAATGTCTCTTGGCTTAAGCTGGTCACATGGCCAGACTCAGACTCCTCATGGGAAGGGACCACACAGGACATGAATGTGTGAAAGTGGGGGAGAGGGAATGTAGTTTGATGAGGGCCACCAAAGTAGCAATCTACCACTCAGTTCACACTTTCTCTGACCGCCTCAGGCCCCTCCCCTGTGCCTACCACATTCGTGTGAAACAGTCCTTTCATTGTTATGACTGTTTTTATACTGTTTTATACTGTATTTATGAACTGGAGCTCCTCTGAAGACAGGGACTCCTTATAATGTCTCCCTGGAACCCAGTGCTGGCACAGAGCATGTTGCATAATGAGCACAGCAGGTGTCATCACCTCCTTCATCTCTCTCAACTTCCAGCCCTGTCTTTACCTCATTTAGATGTAGGCAGTTCAATAGCTGTTCAATGCCAAGTAGAGTCCCTGAGTTCCTTAAAGCATCACAACAAGGTCCCTTACTGAGGTCCTGGCACACAGGAGGCACCTGACACGTTAGTAGAATGAATGAATGAATGAGAAAACTTCCTAGGCACAGCAATGGGAATTCTAAGGTATAAATACATCAACTTCTTTCTTTCTTTCTTTCTTTCTTTCTTTCTTTCTTTCTTTCTTTCTTTCTTTTCTTAAATATGTTCTTATTGAGTTGGTTTTTTTTGTTTGTTTGTTTGTTTTTTATCCTCACCCGAGGACATTTTTCCATTTTTTGTTCAGGTAAACTGGGAGGGAGAGAGAGGAACAGAGAGAGAGAGAAAAACATTGACATGAAAGGGACACATCGAGTGGCTGCTACCCGCATGACCAACCAGGGCCGGGGACAAACTGCAACCGAGGTACGCGCCCTTAGCGGGAACCGAATCCGGGTCTCTCTGGACCGCAGGCCGACACTCTAACTGCTGAGCCAAACTGGCCAGGGCATTGAGTGTTTTTTTTTTTTGTTTTTTTTTTAGAGAGACAATAAGGGAGAGAGATATAGAAACATGGATGTGAGAGAGAAACACGGATCAGCTGCCTCCTGCACACCCCCTACTGGGGATCGAGCCCACAACCCGGGCATGTGCCCGGACCAGGAATCCAACCAGGACCTCTCAGTCCATGGAATGACACTCAATCCACTGAGCTACACTGGCCGGGCCATCAACTTCTTTCTTAAACACACATTGTGACATTCCACAGAGGAAGCAGTCCCATTAGGGAGTTGTCCAAAAGAGATTTTCCGTGTTCTCCTTTCTGATTGAGGACCCTTGAGAAGAAGAGTGTCTTTAGCAGAGCCATGTTCCACCAACTTGTGTGGCTGGAGCAGACGCAGAGGCCAGGGAAGGTGGGGTGAAGTGTCTCCATCACGGCCACCCCAGGAATGTTTCCTGCTCCCCAGATTCTCTGGTTCTGAACAGTGGCTCCTAATACAGACTCTGTCTTGTGCTATAAATAGCCACAGACACATCTTTGGTGGTAACACATTGGAGTGTGGAAACCCATTGTGAATTCAGCTCCTCCCCTATTGCAAAATTCTGACATCATAAGAGAACAGAAGTGAATCATCTCTGAATAAATACTTCGATTAGATCATTTGTTTAGCTTTCAAGACTAAAAAAGGGAAGAGAAAAATACTAGGTGTTACTGCCCTCTGGACTGACCTGAGGGCGTACCATCCTCCACCCCGCTGAGTGGCTAAACCCTTCTCAGCTGTGAGAATAACTTAGTCTTACTTAAGATCACAATTCTCTAGGTTCCGTCTTTTGAAATATTTCATCTTTTGGACCTCAGTGTAAGTAACTCAAATAAAAGAAAATCTTGAATAATAAAATGAAGTAAAAAGGATTTTTTTGCTCTAGAAAAGTTTTTTTTTTCCATTTTATGAAAAAATTAACTCATTTTCTGCAGGTGAGGCCCCTTTGATTTGTTAAAAATGAGATTCACCTTGGCAGGGACCACAGACTGGTTCTGCTGGCCAGGTACCTGTTCTGCACAGCACAGGAGTTTGTTTTCAAGTCCGGGGCTTCTCTGGCTTAGCTACGGCGTGGTCTCTGGTTCCCCACAGCTGTCTCCCAGCACGAGGGAGGCTCTCGCTCTTCTGCCCACCGCGTCTGCACACCACTCGCCCGTCGTTTTGGTTAGGTTAACAAATGTATGTGCAGTTGCATCATTTGCCACAGAACCAACAAGCATTTGCTGGGGTGGATTTTGTAACGAGATAGCACTTATGTAATGGCAAGTTCTCGTGACCTTCCTCTTCCTTTCTGCCCCCCCCCAGTCCTCAGACCAACCTCACCCCACTGCTGTCATCAGGCAGAGCTCACGGTGGAAGGAGGAACACTTCTCTCCTGCTGACTGCTACTTCTCCTTTCCCTGAGCCGGCTCCACAGAACATGCACACAGTAGATGTTTCAGATGGTGCAAACGGGCATCTCTTCCTTCTGGAAAAATCCTACTTGTTATTCAAGGCCCCGCTGAAGTGTGACTTCCTGTGTGAAGCCAGCTTCACCCTTATCTATATATTAGTGATATCATGTCCCACAGTGGGGCGAGTGTGTGTGTCCTTCTATGTTGGCCCTAAACCTTACTTATCTTTTACTTTTATTATTTTTAAATTAAAAAATTAACTACAGTGGACATTCGATATTATATTAGTTTCAGGTGTACAACAGTGGTTAGAATGCGTATAGCTTATGAAGCAATTCCCCAATAATAAGCCCTACTTATCTTTTATGTCTTCACCCCCCCTTCTCTCCTCCCTCCCCTAAAACCATGTTTACTGAATTGAAGTGAGAAGATTGAGGTTGATAGGAGAGTTCCAGAAAACAACCAACAAGCTCCATTTTTCTATCAAAATTGGACAAGGATTAGATTCTGATTCTATTTTTTGGAAAGAAAAATAAATCACCATGCCTCTACTATTCAAGAAAGCCTATTTGCATATAACGTACTTGTCTAACCATGATGCTGTACACCTGAAAATGATATAAAATAATATTGAATGTCAACTCTGAGAAATAAAATTAAAAAAGAAAGCCCTGCCTAGCACTGGCATGAGCGGTGGGCGACCTAGGGAGGGGCTGCTGCTCTGGGGGACAGGTGAGAAGCGCCCGAGGTGCCTGGTCTGGGAAGCAGGGACAGAAAGCAGTGTGGTCTGAGCGCCTGTCCCCTCTGAAACCCAGCACTGAGGTCAGGATGAAGGAGGAGATCTTCAGAGGTACGCAGGAAGATGAGGGGTCCCAGGGCCCTCACCTAAAGGTGACCCCTGAGAGGGTGCTGAATGAGGGGGTAGCCAGCGAGCCTCATAAACCTGTGGACATTTTAGAGCAGCTCCATCCAACAGAAATATAATATAAACTACATGTGTAACTGAGAACATTTTAGTTGTCACATTAAAAAACATAAGATTGCCCTGGCCGGTTTGGCTCAGCGGTTAGAGCGTCGGCCTGCGGTCCTGAGAGACCCGGGTTCGGTTCCCGCTAAGGGCATGTACCTCGGTTGCGGTTTGTCCCCGGCCCTGGTCGGTTGTGCGGGTGGCAGCCACTCGATGTGTCCCTTTCACGTCGATGTTTCTCTCTCTCTCTCTGTTCCTCTCTCTCCCTCCCACTCTACCTGAACAAAAAAATGGAAAAGTGTCCTCGGGTGAGGATAAAAAATAAATAAATAAATAAATAAAAAACATAAGATTAATTTGAATTGTATATCCAACCTATTAAATCTCAGCTATTGAAATACATGTCTACCCAAAATATTATTAGGTCAACATGTAATTAATATAAAAGTCATTAATGAACAATTGCACATGTTTTTCCATCGAAGTCTTCAGATTCTAGCGTTTATTTCATAGTTACAGCACATCTCAATTTGGACGCTACATTTGCATTGAAAATACTCAATCTGTATTTAGATTTCATAAAGCAGGAAAAAGCAGATTCACATACCCAAGTTCTTTCAAACATATATAAAACTTGCATAATAACTGAATCAAGTATTATTTCTTATTTATTTTTTGGTGATCCATATCAGTATTCATTTAATCCTTTCCCCCTCGGCTGTATTGAGGTAATTGATATATGACATTCTGTAAGTTTAAGATGTACAATGTGTTGATCTGATACACTTACATATCGTGAAATGGTTACCGCCATAGCTAACATCTCTATCACACCACATAATTAGAATTTCTTTTTTGTGGTGAGAACAGTTAAGACCTACTTCCTTAGCAACTTTCAAGTATATAACACAGTACTATTAACCACAATCACCATGCTGTACCTTAGATCCTCCGAATTTATTCATCTTATAACTGGAAGTTTATACTCTGTGACTAACATCTCCCCATTTCTCCTACCCTAAATACCAGTTTTTAAACCTGATTTTATTTTATTTTTTATAATTTTTCTTTATTGATTTTAGAGAGAGGAAGTGAGAGGGAGAGATAGAAACATTGATGAGAGAGAATATCGATTGGCCGCCTCCTGCATGCCTCCACTGGGAATTTGGCCCACAACCTGGGCATGTGCCCTGACCGGGAATATGAATCAGCGACCTCTTAGTGCCTGGGTCGATGCTCAACCAGTGAGCCACACCGGCTAGACGAGCCTGTCCTTTTTTAAAACTCATTGCATTAAGATGGAAGCTGACAATTTTCCTAGCAACTTTAAGCTACTCTTTAAATCGGAAAAAATTGAAAACTCAAATGGCTGTCAGGAATGGCTCTCAGTAAATGCTTATCGGTAAATGAATTATTATTACTTCTAATTGTACCAGAATATCCAATAACGGCTTTCTTAGTTGGGGGGGGGGAAGCAGATAATTTTTATGGTTAAAGTTGTTTAACATTTCTGTACATTATAATTAGGGAGCAAAGAAGTCCATTTTTATCTAAACTATCAAGGTCCCATAGCCTTTATCTCTTTCATCTAATCTCTTTTATAAGTTACTATTTAACTAGGAACTTTTTTTTTAAGTGTATATGAAAAGAATTATGTATATATAAGTACATATGTAAAGAATTTCTAAAGAATTTTGTAAAACATCCTTTAGGGGTTTACATTCCGTGAAAGATCTCAAAATAAAAAGTCATAAAATGCATGCTTTTAGGTTAGATAAGGTTTTTTAGAATAGTACTTAAAAAAAATTTTTTTAATCTTCATCTGAGGATATTTTTTCCATTGATATTTAGAAAGACTGGGAGGGAGAGAGGAAGGGGGAGAGAGAGAAAGAGAAACATTGATGTGAGAGAAACATTGATGTGAGAGACGCATCGATTGGTTGCTTCCCATATGGCCCCATCCAGGGCTGGGGATTGAACCTGCAGCCGAGTACGTGCCCTTGACTGGTAATCGAACCTGAGACTGGTCCGTGGGCTGATGCTCTAACCACTGAACAAAACCGGTCAGGGCAGAATATTACTTTTTTAAAGAAAGAAAGAAAAAAAAAAACCACCAAAAACACACCTATAAAGATTGTCACAAGGTGGCGCTAAACTCTAATGAACATTCCAGTCTCTGGTCTTTGGGAGGAGCTGGGGGGTGATTTATCTGTAGCAAACACTAGACAAAATAAAGACCAAATAAATTAAGCTAAAGATTGGAGATAGGTTAACACCCTTCTTTTGTCTCAAGGATAATTTCCCTGTCTCACTGTTGTGGGCATCTGTCATACATTTAATCTATGTTAATAAAGTTAATTATAAACATGATTTGTTCTCACAGGCAATCAATTTTTTCCTTGCTTTTTGGTTGGAGTGTACTGGACAGGGAAGAGACTAGCACATCACCTAGTTTGGAAAAGTTTATCCTGAGTGGAGTAGCCAGTCTCCACAGAGCCTGCATTGCACAAAAGTGTCCTGGCCCCCGGGAAATGAATACCATGAAAAGAAGTTGCTGCAGAACACGAATTTTTCGATTTGTTTACTTTGGCATATTTACCAACCGAATATTTTTAGAAATTATTTTGACATTGAAATTCAAGCTTGGAACACCTCATATAAATGTCTGAGAATCAGAAAATGAGTGTGTTAAATCCTTCTTCCTGATTCTTTGTATTTCAGTTTTTAAAAACATACATGGTACAAACTTAATTGCTTGATTTCTTAAAATATTTGAAGCTTAAGAACATGGCCAAGATTTCCAGCCTATGTAAAAACCAAGGAAAGTAGTGTTAATGATACAGCTATAAAAGGTTTTGACTAAAAAAGAAAAATTCAGATAAGAATTTTCTAATCAGCCAACTAAAAAAGAAAAAAATTTTCAGACTGGAGCCCTAATGAAACTGAAGGTCTTTATGATTTTTAAATTAAATTTAGCTTTAAATCCTAGCTCTAGAAATCATCTCTCTTTTGATACCCTTCAGAGACCTAGCCTTTCCCCTGGATAATCAGCAACCCACAAGGCAGCAGAAGACAGTAGCTGTACTTAATGGTCACAGGTCTGGACCCCTGGCAGGCTAAAGACAACATCTTGACCTAAGTTATATTTCAGCTCCAGAGCCCTAGGGTGGAAAGATTCCCTGGCTACTTTCCCATGAAACCAGACAGAGGGATGCTGGAATGGATCTCAGAACTGTCCTCAAGATCTGAATAAATGATTTATTACCCTTATCTCACTTCTAATCAATCAGTTCCCAGAATGACCCCGAATCCCCTAACCCAGAGTGTCTTATGATTTTGCCTTATATAATCTGTAACCTACATGCCATCAAGAATAGGGCTTCTTTTTTTTTTTTCCTGTGCATTAGCTTCCCATTCTCCTGGGTGGTGCCATTTCTAATAAAATAGTCAGTCTTTCTTGACTGCAATTCTCAGTGTTTGGCTCTACTAGTGCCGGGTAGACAAAATCTTTCTGTTCGATAACACTAAACCAATGATCAAAATAACTTACTTTCTCCCGTGGGATCTCACTGTGGAAAAAGTATTTACTTGTTGACAGTCCAGTCCCTTAGATCTGAAAAACAAAAGCAAAACAAAACAAAAAAGCTGGGCATTGTGTGCAGCTAATCCATTGTGAAGGAGCACTTTGGTCCTTTGAATGAGTTGTTCTCAGTGTAGGATGGGCTCTAGGGATTTGCAGCATAATGTCTTATTTGACCTGATTTTCTTTTTTTTAAATAGGTTTTTATTGATTTTTTAGAGAGAGAGGAAGGGAGAGAGAGAGAGAAAGAAATATCGATGTGAGAGAGAAACATGGATTGGCTGCCTCCTGCATGCCCTCCACTGGGGATGGAGCCTACAACCTGGGCAAGTACCCTGACCAGGAATCAACCAGAACCTCTCAGACCACGGGATGACACTCAATCCACTGAGCCCACAGGCTGGGCTTGACCTGATTTTCTATCTGTGCTTTCCATATAGAGACCTAGATCTCAATTTATGAATCATTGGTGTAAACATCAGGGATCAGTTGCAGCTGACTGCATGGGTTTGGTTGGATGGTTGTTAAAGCGGAGTCTGGAGTTTGAAGTAGGAGAGTCCCAGAAAGTTCCAAGTTCCTGAACATTTACGTGAATTCTCCAGTCATTAACCGATTCTTGCATAACGTTAGGTATTGTGCTAGGTCTTCAAGATGCTGAGATAAGACAGTATCCTGGCTCTCCAACAGCTTCCAGTCTCAGAAGGGGAGGCAGAAATATGAAGCAATAATCTGATGTCCTGGGTCTCTCCTTTGTTGAAAAATCAATAGGCATCCCCTCACCCGCTCTATAGTTGCAATAGCCCCTCCTGCTCAGTTGTTGCTCTAGCTCTCCACCATAGGCCCCAACCTAAGTTTCAACTTTCTCCAAGTGCGGCCACACTAAGCTCGTCCCTGTTCCTAGAGTTTGTCCTACTCTTTCACACCTCTCTGCTTTTGTTCGTGTTGTTCCTCCCTCCTGGTAGGCCTGTCCTGCTTCCCCTCCCCCTTCCTACCTCTTCTGTCCTTTGAAATCTCTTGACTCCTCCTTCCAGATCAGATGTAGTTGTCATCTCCTGCAGGATCTGTGGGAAGGATGAATTAAGTCTTGGTGTGTGACAGGAGCCCCCTACCAGCTACTCATTTGCTGTGTCCCCACCTTCAAGTTTCTTCCCTCAGCCTCTTCTTGCCCAAGGAGCTGTGGGGTGGTTAAATTTTATTGTACTATCTAATTCAGACGTCCAGGATCCGAATTAATCATGCAAACCAGGGCCGGGTTGTCTTTCTTCTTTTCTTTTTTTTTTCTATTTTGTAACTTCCTCCAAGTGGACACAAAGTTTTGCAACCAGCTTCATCCTTCCCTTTTCACTGTTTCTCCTTCCCCTAATTTTCATCTAGAGACCCAGGCTGGGGGCCGGGAAGGTGGTAAGTGGTAGGACTTGGAGCAGCCGTGAGGCCTTGCTCTAGTTCACCCAGCTCATAGTAGCCTCTTGAATCACTGGGTCCAAACCTAGGGCTGCCCAGAGTGGGGGGGGGGGGGGAGTAACCGGGTAAGGGGAATAGGGGACTAGACCAGGGAGGGGCCGCTTTTAAAAGAAAAAACAAAAACAAACCTTACTTGGAAACAAACGTGTGTGTGTGTTAAATATAAAAACAAAATTACGTTTAAGGTGCCGCCCTGTCCCCCATAGGTCCGACCACCCGCTGGGAGTTGGCATGGAAGAGGGGCATTTGGAGTGGGAGTCGCCAACGCCGCACAAAGTGCCGCCTCTCTAAGCACCGCTCGCCCAGGCCCCGCGGACTCGAGGCAGCCAGCTCCGGGGTCCCGGCACCGCGCACAAAAGCTGTTGTGAAGAAGGGAACCCTGGTGTCCCCAGAGCCCTGCAGCGACCGCCGGGGCGCAGACTCCCTAGTCTCAGCCTCTCCCAGCCCCGCGGCCTGGGCCGTCAATCAAGTTCGCCCGGCCCCGCCTCTGGGCTGCAGAAAACGGCCAATCAGAGCCGAGCTCCGCAGCGATGAGCTCAGTCGGCTCGCTTCCCATTGGGCGGCTATATTAAGAAAGTGGCCGAACTCTTTAAATAGCGGGCGCTAGGGCCGCAGCCAGCGTCTGCCACCGCAGTCTGGCCGGAGTCGTGTTCTGTCCTGTACTCTTGGCGAGGCCTGGGGAGGCCGGCGAGGGAGCTAGACCAGGCCTGCTGCTTGATCTACGGTTTGCGCACAAAGGCGCCCAGTCCGGCTCCAGGGCGAGAACGGCGGCCACCGCCCGGGAGCAGCGCGGAGACGCACAGTGCGCCCTATGCCCCCGCGCCCCCACCGTCCCCGCCGCGGCAGCAGGAGCGCACTGAGAGGACGCGCCACCGCGGGGCCTGTGTGCAGCTAGCGACCCTTGTCCCCAGCGCGCAGCCGGAGGTGAGCAGTGAGCGGCGAGCGGGACGGCAGCGAGGCGTTCGCGGGCCCCTTCCTGCTGCCCGGGCCCGGCCCGCTCATGGCGGCCATCCGCAAGAAGCTGGTGGTGGTGGGCGATGGCGCGTGCGGCAAGACGTGCCTGCTGATCGTGTTCAGTAAGGACGAATTCCCCGAGGTGTACGTGCCCACTGTCTTCGAGAACTATGTGGCTGACATCGAGGTGGACGGCAAGCAGGTGGAGCTGGCGCTGTGGGATACGGCAGGTCAGGAGGACTACGACCGCCTACGGCCGCTCTCTTACCCGGACACCGACGTGATTCTCATGTGCTTCTCGGTGGACAGCCCGGATTCACTGGAGAACATCCCCGAGAAGTGGGTGCCCGAGGTGAAGCACTTCTGCCCCAATGTACCCATCATCCTGGTGGCCAACAAGAAAGACCTGCGCAGTGACGAGCACGTCCGCACCGAGCTGGCCCGCATGAAGCAGGAACCGGTGCGCACGGATGACGGCCGTGCCATGGCCATGCGCATCCAAGCCTACGACTACCTCGAGTGCTCTGCCAAGACCAAGGAGGGCGTGCGTGAGGTCTTCGAGACGGCCACGCGCGCTGCGCTGCAGAAGCGCTACGGCTCCCAGAACGGCTGCATCAACTGCTGCAAGGTGCTATGAGGGCCAGCCTCGCGCGCCTGCCCTGCTGGCGTGGCCCGCCTCCCGGGCCCGTTCCCCTGAGTACCCCAGTGGACTGCCTGGCGTCTGCCTTCCCGCGCGGCAGCCGTAGCCTGGCGGCTGTGTCTCTGGCACCGGGAATCGGCGTGGGAGGCACCGGGCGCCCTCTTTCCAGTGTCTGTGTTGCACAGGCCCAGGCGCCCCAATGAGTGCCAAGGGTCCCCTGCGCACCCTTTTCTGAAGAGCCAAGACTCCTCAGAGTGTGTGGCTGTGTGTTCTGACTCTCCCCAACCCCCCTCCAGCCCCGGTCTCACCCAACCCCCGCCTCCGGTCCCCGGAGAGGAGCTTGGCGCCGGGGTGCTGCTGCACCCCATCAGATGTTCGCCCATAACCAGCGAGCGCCTGCTGTCTCTTGTCTGTAACATAGACCACGGGAACTGCGGGAAGGGAGGGTTGGGGAGGGTGGGTGTTATATAAATATAGATATAATTTTATTTTCGGAGGTAGGATGGTATTATTTAATGGTGGTGGTGGGTGGAGTGACAGGGCGCTAGAACAGCTCTGGGTCAGGCGCCCATCCAAGCATGAACAGGACTTGGTCGTCTTTCCAACCTCTGGGGAAGACATTTGCAACTGACTTGGGGCTGAGAGGACACAGCTTCCAGATTCACGTCTGCGCGCCAGCCTCCAGCGAACCCCTCACCAGCCCTGGGCAGGAGGAGGGAGAGTGTGCTGCGGGTTGTTTTTTGCCATAAGCGAACTTTGTGCCTGTCCTACAAGTGAAAATTGTTCAGTCCAAGAAACTGATGTTATTTGATTTATTTAAAGGCTTAAACTTTTTTTTTAAAAAGAATTCTTTGCACAATTGTTTCATTGTTTGACACTTAATGCACTTGTCATTTGCATAAGACAGTAGCATTCTGACCACGCTGTAACCTCATCTACTTCTGATGTTTTAAAGAAAAATGATGGTGACTTTTAAAATATTAGAGGAAAAAGAAACCACTAATTTTTGTTTTGTTTTCTTGAAAAAAGTGGCAACACCAGTTTCTTAATTTTATTTGTGCAGGTATGCGCACTATTTTGATAAAGGGCAGTAACAAGTATTGGGGCCTATTTAAACCCCCTCTTTTTTTCACAAGGCAGTCTCTAGAGCTGTGTGAAATTCTATCTGCATCTCTACGGAGAATGAACCTGCCCCTAGCCTCCTTCCTCCCCGTCCCTTCCCCACCCAGTGGTACTTCTACTAAATTGTTGTCTTGTTTTTTATTTTTAAAATAAACTGACAAATGACAAAGTGGTGAGCTTATGATGTTTACATAAAAGTTCTATAAGCTGTGTATACAGTTTTTTTATGTAAAATATTAAAAAATTATGATGATGACATTTATAAAATGGCTCTGGTTTATTTTTTTCCTTTTCATTGACTATATTGGGGTGACACTAGTAAATAAAATTACACAGGTTTGGGGTGCAGAATTCTTCAACACTTCATCATTACACTGTATTGGATGTTTACCACCCCAAGTCAAGTCTCCCCCCACCCCCACAATCACCACACTGTTGTCTGTCCATGAATTTCTTTCTTTTTTCTTTTTTCCTCAATCCCTCCACCCAGCTCCTGTGGTTTATTAATGTGTAAAAATAACCTGGTGAATTTGGGGCAAGAGAAGAATTCTGCTAGGTGAGGTCTTCTCACCAATTCCATTTCCCTGATAACATTTGTAGTGAGAATGAAATTCCTTGGGGGGGAGGGTTGTGGGGGTTGGGTGACCATGGGAGACCAGATTGCTCCTGTCCCAGTACCAGAGGAAGATAAGAGTTATCCAGACACCCAGTATCAAAAACTTTTGACCTCATGTGTACTGTCTCTATGTCTGAAAAACTCTTGTGTCTCATATGGGGCCTTTGTTCCCTATTCCTCGAAACTTGAAGTTGTCTTTGTGCATTTTAAATTTAGATAACAGCCTGGCTGGTGTGGCTCAGTGGTTGAGCATCAACTCACATACCAAGAGGTTGCTGGTTTAATTCATGATCAGGGCACATGTCCAGCTTGTGGGCCCGGTCCCCAGTGGGGGGCATGCAGGAGGTGGCCAGTCAATGTTCTCTTTCATCTATGTCTCTGTCTCCCTCTCCCTTCCTCTCTAAAATCAATAAAGAAAAATTATTTAAAAAATAAATACATTTAGATAACATTTTCCTGCTAAACACTGGTGTGGGGCCAGACTCTCTGTCTAGAAAGAAGGCTGGTTACTGGGTTTCCTTCAGCTCCTCAAGGGGTTACATTGTATCCCATGAAATTTTAGGTTGGTACTTCGGGGCTGGAGCTCCTGGGTAGAGCCCAGCTCAGGAGCTGACTCCTATCATTGAACTTTCATCTGAATGTGTGTCTATATGGAACCTGGAATGCTTTATTCTAAGTACTGAGAATGGCCACATTATAAACAGAACACTGGAGGTTTGGCGGGCCTGTTATTTAAAGTTGGAGCAGCCACATTCGGAGATTTCATCCTGATGAGCTCTAATTTCAGACACTTAGCTGGCTGTGAGGGGTCTCAGAACCAGACAAGCAATTTTCTGCTTGGAGAGTACATGAAAATCCTGTACAGGCATGATGGCTGAGACCTGCCAACTCTCAGCAGCTTCCAGAGAAGGCAGTTTGATAATACCAACCTCTCCCAACTCCTAAGAAGTGTGGTTTTGTTTTAGGAATCAGCACATTCTGGGTTTCCAGCACTTAGTCGCTCCCCCTCCTCCCCTCTCTCCACCCTGGGCAGACAGACAAGATCCATTTTGAAGTTTACTTTAAAGCGTGAGGCATCTGTTTCCCTGTCTTTCCCCAGACAGCCAAAGCTTTTGTTGAGTGAGGCAAACCTGGTTGCTGCTGGTGACCTTTCACCCACTTAAACACCAACGGGACAGGGCCTCTGGTGCAGCCAGGCCCCTTGGCCAACAGAGGGGAATTGTCTGGGCTTCCCCAGGCACAGAGCAGGGAGAGGGCCCCACTCACCTTCTACCTCCCAGCCTACATTTTTTCCTTCGCTTTAAAGACAAAACTTCCCATTGAAAAACAAAATGTTGACTTGCAGATTTACAGCTAGCAAACCCTTTGGTACCAGGGAGTGCAGGACTCTGGAGAAGAGCTCAGGCTTGGGCTCAGTGCCCAGGACTCAGCTTTGCAACCAGCCAAGAGCCTGGAGGCTCAGCCCCCTGAAAGGGCCTTGCTGGCTTTCCTGCCTGCTCAAAGGTGCCTGGTACCTACAGCTTTCTGTTGTTTTTTTTATATTTTGGGAAGACAGCCACTCCAATGATGCATAGCGGCCTGAGTTGTGTTTGTTTTAAAATGCATGGCATTTAATAATCCTGCCGGAACATACTCTTCTTGCTGCATTAGGATCCAACTGGAAAATATAAAGACGAATTGCTGTGGGCTGGAAAATCAATTAGGAAAAAGAGGTAAAACATCTGGTGTTACTCTTAGGATATGAAAAATCATTTTGAACATTTAAAATAAATGTGCTGATTTCATTAAATTGCCTGTTGAACTGTTTCATGGAGAATAGTGGGGAGTTTCATTGATCCTGGGCATTTTATAGTAAGGGGCATTGCTTGGGTTCTCATTTAATCTTAATTTTAAATCAATCTGGGTTATATGTCTAGGGTCTTTTTTTTTACATACAGTTCAGTTTACTTAAAATGGTGGTTTTCAAAGTTAACCATGCATCAGAATCACATGGAGGGCTTAAAACACAGATGGCTGATCCAGTTTCTGATCCAGCAGTAGGTCTGGGATGGGGTCGGAAAATTTGAATTTCTGACAAGGTCCTAAGTGATGCTGATGCCACTGGTCTGGGGACCACACTTTGAGAAACACTGGCTTAGACTACGGTAGAGTCCTTGTCAATACTCAGGGGTGGGTGGTTGATAGTAGCTCAGATTCCTCAGATGACTGGTGCGCGCCCTGCAGTCCTGACTTCCTTACCCCAGGGAGTCCTGCGCTTTCAGAGAGCATCCCTGCTGGGGTGTGCCACACAGAACCCCTATCTTCTCTCCACATTCTTGTGCAAAAGGGGGGTCTTGTGCCTTCTGGAGATTTATTTGTCACTCCGGAATGCAGAATGCAACTGCACTCTGTACTTCATTCAGCATTGGCACCTACTTCGTCAGCTCAGCGGAGACGAGGGTTACAAAAGCGAATAGGACGCAGTCCTTGCTCTAGCGGGCTGGGCAGTTCTGGGAATACAGTCACCAGGAACTGGAGTACAGCATGCTCAAAAGAGGCTCTAGGCCCGGGGCACACCAGGAGCAAGGGACGTTGGGGAGGGTGCCATGGAGGAGGAGACATTTGAACCGAGTCTTAAAAGCAGGAGTGGGTGATGTATAGATGGAAGATATAGCTTCTTGGTATTCCTGGGGGTCCTGGCCTCGGGGGAACAGAACTCTCTTGGGTGAAAACAACCTTCTTCTTTTAGCCCCTTGGCATACATTTCTTCAGTCAAGAAAAATGATGTTACCCAGCCAAGCCAAACACAGCCTCTCCCCTGCCCTCCCTGTCCACATGGCCAGAAGAGAAGGTTGGGGATGATGGGTTGTTTTCTCTGTGCCTTCCAGGCAGACGCAGGGGCCAGCTGTGTGATAACCGTGTTCCTGGGAACTATGCAGCTTGGGATCAAGAAGGCTGTGGCACTCCAAAGGGGCCTTGGTCCATCTTATGGCTGGAGAACCTGGGCACTCAGAATGCTCCCCTAACCTTCAGTGGCCCCTTTTCTGGCCTGAGAGGTAAGAGTCTGTAGGACCCCAGTTCCTTCCTTCCTGTTTATTCGCTTAGTCATCAAATATTCCCTGCTGACTAAAGGACTCTGTTCCTACCATGACACCAGCGTTTGGGACCCAGTGGGCAAATAGGGGGGTATTGTTCCTCCCCTCACAGAGCTTTCAGTTTAGTTGTGTGTCTAAATAAGTAATAATATTGACGATAATAATAGCTAATATTTATTGACTGTGCAACTGGCACTATTCAAAGCCCTTTAACTCTATCATTTTATTTAATCTCTATTACTTATCTATTGTTGCATAACAAATTATTTCCAAAATGAGTTGCTTAGAACAACATTTGTTAGCTCACAGTTTCTGTGTGCCAGGAATCCAGACACAGTTTAACCAGGTCTTCTTACTCAGGGTCTCTCTTAAAACTGTACCCAACGTGTTGGCTTGGGCTGCATTTATCTCAAGTATCAACTGGGGAAGGATGTGCTCCCCAGCCCACTCACGTGGTTGCTGGCAGGGTTCAGTTCTCCCTGGCTGATGCCATCTTTGGCTTCTTGCCATGTAGGCTCTCCATGGGGCAGTCACCAGAAAGAGAGAGAGAGAGAGAGAGAGAGAGAGAGAGAGAGAGAGAGAGGTTTTCTATAACCTATTTTTGGAAGTCACATACTACATACTACCACTTT